GTATTTCAATCTTTTCACCAATAGGAAAGGATATGATGGGATTATGATATGGGTAACATCAGAATTAGATATTGGAATTGGTATTATTTTGTAGTATTTGTATATGTCTGGTTAAATTAGTGGGATATCTAATACAAAAACTTAGTTATTCCTATTGACATACGATTTAACTACTATATTTCTTTCTAACTTAATAAAATTTTCCGTATTAACTGGGTAAATCAATTTGGCATATTTTTCTATATTTATTAACATATTTAATAGTTCTGTTGAATTTATGATTGATTGATGTAAAGTATGTAATTTAATATAGTTTCACCATTTAATAATTTGACTGGTAATTTAACTCTCAATTCGCAGCGAGGAGGCAGATTATATGTCTCTCTCATTGGCGGTGAGTAAATAATTGGGATATTAGTATTATTTGTATATAAAGTGAGGTTTTTCATGTCAATGGTAGCGTCAAGCAATTTTAAGAGATCACTACCTGTTAACCCATCGTACCTTTCGTCTACACTATATACATAAAACTTTTGTTTTTGTGGACTATGAAAGATACTCGGTAACTCTGCGTAGACAACTTCTCCGTGTTTACTGGCAGCGTGAGTACTAATAACCTCAAACGGTTCTAAGTGTACCGAATCGCTATAATATTTTTTTGTTAGTCTGGACTAATAAATGACCTAGTACTACCAGTGTCTATCATAAAGACAGCTTTTAGTTCAGGTATACGGATATGTGATAAATTTAAAAGTTTCGTACAATTAATTTTTATTCTATTGGTCTCGGCAAGGCTAATATGTGAAAATTTTCAATTTCAGCCAAATCCGAATTATTATACTGATTTGATGCAATACATTGTTGTGAATTGCAAGGTTGATTTATTTCGCTATTGGTATAGTTTATTCTCCTTGAGTTAGCAGTTCGCATTGTTACATCGGTGTTCGAACTCGACGCCACAGGTGGCGATTGGTATTGCGTTAGACGCTGAGTATGCGCAGGGGCATTGTCCGCGAAATACTGACTACGCTGTATCGGGCCCGGCGCCGGCGGTACTGGTGACCTAGTTATCGATTGCTGTTGATAATGTTTGCGATGGTTATTGTTACGGTTGTTATTTTGCCTAAATTGAAATGAATTATTTGACGAGTTAAAAGAGCGGTTATTATTAACGTAGGGTGACAAATTGTTCTGATTATTAAATGTATTTGCACTAGATTGCTCCGTATGGGGGACATTTCTAGGTGAATAAGTGTGATTATTGTTAGGACTCGGCCTACAGTTTGTTCGATTAGGCTGTGAATTTTTACTTTCATAAACTGACTGAAAGTTTTGTCCGTCTAAGACAATTTTCAAAGCGTCTTCTAGAGTAGTCACGTTCCGTAATCTCACAAGTCTAACTAAATATGCCGGTAAATTATAAAGAAACGCATTTAGTGAACTATGGTTATAAATAGATTGTTTCGCTAGACGTAAGTTCGGATCGTCAATCTTTTTGCTAACCTTAGAAAATAAGACACTTCTCAAATGTTGTATCCTGTGACAAAATTCCTGGTAATTTTCATTACGGTTTAATTTTAATTCGAGACGATTCGAGTTCCAAAGCCAGACATTCCTCGGATCTCGGGTCACCAAAATGATGGCTTAGTAATGTTTTTAATTCGTCCCAATTATTAATATGATCCCGTTCTCCAACTAGGTTTGCAGCTTCCCGAGATAACCTACTTGTAATAACATGGAATAAATATTCGTTTTGTAACTGGCTTTCTTGGAATGAATAGAGTATGTACTCGCATTTTTTTATAAAGAGTGGTAAAAGTCTAGTATCACCATCGAAATTAGGGAAAATTTTAACCATTTCCATAGGAACTCTCACTAAATTTTCCATTTTTCTTTCTTTTTGTTACAGAATACACTACCAATAAAAAAAATACTCTCCGGTTATTATTAAGTGATTTTATAAGGAAATTAAATGAAATAATTTAAATTCCTCAATTACTTAACTAATTAGAATAATTAAATAAGTGTGAATTTATCCAGTAATTAGGCGTAATTAATCCCACAAAAAACCAGAATATAAACACACAAAAAATAAGAAGGGTGGGAAAATACAGATTGGTGAAGAAGACCTACTCACAGTGCTGCAGTTCACCCCATGCTCCTTCTGGAATATCGGTGCTCCGTCCTTGAAGTTGGTTTGTTCCTTAATAAATTTGTTTGTTCCTTTTTTTCCCGATTAAAACGTTGAGACGTACGACCGATTTTTCTGCGAAAACTTTTATTCGCCACGAAACAATACTTGGTCTTACGGGTCCCTACCGACTGCGCCAATTAATATAATGAACCAAACTTCAATAAAAAATATATTTTATTTATTTGGACAGAGTTACAGTAAGAAGTTTATTACTACAATATTCGATATTAACTGATTACAATTGTCTATTTATACTTAAATTATATGCAACAAAACTATTTACTAAGCTTATTTACTGCATACGCTTGACCCAGATGGGATTGCTGATGATGTGCGAACGAATGAGATTTGGCAGGGGTGCTCAGCCTTAACTAGCGCGTGTATTTCTGTCCAATTCAGTGGCCTCATGACGTGATTTTGTCACATTTTGTTTGCTTTGATATCTTGGAGCATATGTCATCAATGCCTTGCCAGTACGCATTCATTTCATAGTAGACAGTGAGTTTCCACTGATCTCTAACCGGAGACCCTTTTTTACTGGAAACCAGGCATTCCATCTTAGTCCCTAGGGATGACAACACATTTGCCTTTTTTTCTTAATCGAGGATAAATGTAGATGTCTATGAGCCACAGCATCCACTTACAATGAGGTCGAATGTGTGCCCGTTTGTCACCCTTATTCTATAAAAAATATATTTATTTATAACATTAGATTTTAACACACCAACTAGAGTGTGAACTATATCAGGGATGAAATTTATAAAATATGTTTCAAATTTATAAATTATGGGGGCTTCGTGCCCCCATAATTTATAAATTTGAAACATATTTATAGTTTAGTGTTAGTATTTAAAAAAAATATAAACAAAAATTACATCTAAATGCTTCGTTAATCGTGAATAATTAATTATAAGTTTTAAATAGGCGACAAAATCATTTTTAGACAATCGGAGAATCTATACATTTACTATTTTTTTTCCATGAGGTGAACGGTTGAAAGGTTATCTTGTTTGTCATTCTCATGTTAAAAAAGTAATGACATAATAAAGATATTTAGCTGAGTTCAGAAAAGGAGAGTTTTAATTCAACTGTATGTTTCCTTGTATATGTACTATACGTAAGTATTGATAGTTCATCGTTACGAAAAGTGCAAAGTGTGAAAATTTTATTTTGAAACGCTTATTAAACGGCTAACAGATTTAACCACTTTAGGTAATTTTAGCTGTTAATGTCAAAGTTTTATCATTTCTGACAGTTATTACAAAAGTTTAAAACCGATTTAATTTTTTTTAAATAAGCACAAAGATGGACGGATCTCTTTTATAGATTGTGGATGTAGATTTAAATTTAAAATTAACCCTTAAGGGTGGAAAATAGTGGATGAGATTTTTAATGTACCCGTCCATTTAGAAGAAGTTTTAGTTATTACCTTGGGGTCGTGACATTCCTAAGTTCTCTTGAATGAGACAAATAATTTAACTTTCAAAAATGTTAAAGCCTACTTTAAAAAAACTAAAAAGAATTAATAAGATGGATTGAAATCTGATGCAGGCAACTCCACAAAAATAAAGTACTACAAATACATTTTTATTCAAAATAGATACAAAAACACTTACTGAAAGTGATTTATGCTTTCATCTCCGGGGAAGAACAAGAAGCAAAAACACCTCTGAAGTACTTTTTTAAATATTGTTTACAATATATCACATTACATTAGATCGCGTCGCGATGAGGATATATCCGCAGTAAAACCAGAGTGACCAACGTAGCTATACAGATGCTGAGGTGACAATGGGACAGCCTTATAGCTCGAAGAACCGACAACCGATGGGAGAAAGGTTCTCGAGCCTCGTAGGCGAAGTGTAGGGCAACCCCCAACTAGATGGAGTGATTACCTGGTAAGACATGCATGAAATCGATGGATGTAGGTTGCTGAGGACCGTGCTTTGTGGCATGGGGGAGGCCTTTGTTCAGCAGTGGACATGTGAAGGCCTGGTATGATGATGATGAATGACGTTAGATCTCTGGCTGTGTAATAATATCCACTATCCCATATCGTCCCGTGGATGTCGTAAGAGACGATAGAGGTATACTGAAATAGGAGATATAGAAGATAGGTGGTAGCTCAGATGGTTAGCGATCGCAGTAAATTTCACAGTACGCGAGCAACCTTCTTTCGTTTCCCGCCAGCTCGAATGAAGTTGTTAATTGCAATTATAAGTGCTGATTTACCACGTGCTCGGCGGTGAAGGAAAACATCGTGAGGAAATCTCAATGTTTAAGAAATAGGAAAAGAAATATTTTGAAGACATGTGAAGTTTGCCAACACGCATTGGGGCAGCGCGGACATTTCCTTGCCCTAAAGCCCTCTCAGAAATAAAAGGAGGCCTGTGCCCAGTAGTGGGACGTATATAGGTTGTATCTTTAGCTTTGACTTTTAATATTTTCTTTATATATTTATCTTATAACATCTTACACACCTACTTCATATTTTAATCTCTGCATCACTCAAAAGTTGACTCATAGAGGTACCACTACCTCAGGCATTACCTCCGCCTATACATCATATTATATGTTGTTGTCTAAAGTTAAATAAATAAAAAAATCAAAAGATAGAACCTATTAAAATGAAGTCTCGTCTTTCGAAAACGGTCGTCTTCTACTTACAAATATATTTACACAATCAAGTCATATCAAAGAATTATCAAATTTGGCCCACGACACATCCTAACAAATGTAAAAACGGCTTTGTTGTAAACTTAATAATATAAAATAAATTTATAAAATTCAAAAACCGTTAACTTACTCTGAATCGGTATTCTCCAAATGGTGGACGAGCGTAAGGAATTCCGTGGAAACTAGCATAGGTTCTGCCATTGGGGGAGACCCTCCATGCTCCTTGGAGCACCCCATGGGCAACCCTTACAACAGGATTTGACCCTTGTGCCCCAACCAATACGTTCGCAAACAAGAATAAGTAAAACCATAGTGACGCCATATTAAATACAAAAAAAATTATTAGCACGCGTGCGCATGCGTCGAGCTTTAGAACAGCAAAGATGGAACAACAGTAGCAGTGTCGGTTTTGTAGTTGTAATAAATAATTAGACTGAGATTAAAATATTGTTATCTCACTAGAGTATACAAACTATACAAAAATAATATCAACTCTGTTATAAAATTTTTAACAGCTCTACGACGATGTAATTTTTGTATCTCACTTGTACCATGATTATACAGTCTTTTAAAAGTCTTCTGCTAAACATAGGGCTCACACATGGCACAACTTCCAGACCCATTTGTAAAGTTACAGCTTATATAAGTCCCCCCGTAGGGTACAGGTAGGAGTCCCGTACCTAGAAGGGAACTCACTTCCGAGAAGATGGATTAAGGCTGGAAAATGTCCACCGTGCTGTCCCAACGCGTACTGGCAACCTTCGTAATATTGTCTTCGAAATATTTTTTATAATTATTCAGATATGCACGTTTCTCACGATGTTTTCCTTCACCGCCGAGTACGTAGTAAGTCAGCAGTTAAAGTTGCAATTAACAATTTCATTGGTAACGGCGGAGTTTGAACCCGTGTTTTCACGTACTGTGAAATTCACGTTCATGATCAGCAGCATCATCAGCTCCATCAGTATTCCTTCCCTTTCCTCTCCAGGACTGATGTATTTTCCGAACCAGTGATATATTTAACCATAGTAATGACTTTCAATAAGTATTATTTATAATCTATATTAAGTAAAAAAGTTTATTTTTCTATTTGCTAATCAGTCCACCGGTGAACATGGGTTTCCCGAACAGTTGGGAGGATTATACATCTTTTAAAAATTTAATACAATATAACATTAATTTTGATTTTATTATTTACTAGCGATTTGCTCCGGCTTCACACGATTGGTGTCTGGATCTCAATAATAGCGCAACCTAATGGCTCCAATTATCCACACACACACAAAACTTCATCATAATCAGTCCAGCCATTTAGAAGGAATTCAGTCACATATATAGGGACAGAAGAATTATATCATCATCATCATCATCATCATCATTATAGCCCTTCACAAGTCCACTGCTGAACATAGGCCTCCCCCAAGTAATGCCACAAAGCACGGTCCTGAGCCACCTGCATCCATCGACTTCCTGCATGTCTTACCAGGTCGTCACTCCATCTAGTGGGGGGTTCGCCCTACACTACGCCTACCGGTACAAGGCTGCCACTCGAGAACCTTTCTTCCCCATCAGCTATCGGTTCTTCGAGCTATATGGCCGGCCCATTGCCACTTCAGCTTACTAATCCGTTGGGCTATGTCGGTCACTCTGGTTTTACTGCGGATATCCTCATTTCTGAGTCTATCACGCAGAGAAACTCCGAGCATAGCCCTCTCCATAGCTCGCTGAGCGACCTTGAGCGTCCTCATACGGCCAGCAGTGAAGGACCACGTCTCTGATCCGTAAGTCATCACTGGCAACACGCACTGGTTGTACACTTTATTTTTCAGAGATTGAGGTCAGGAAGAATTATATATATAATTCTAATTGAATCGACTTTGTTTTATACTATGCAGAGATTATAAACCAGTGTTTGACTATTGTTCCACCGTAAGTGACGAATGACGATGTAACTGAATATGATATAGTGCACTGAATTAACCTAACAAAAGCATGTTCTCTTTTGTCTTGAAGACATTTAAATTGTAAGCAGATTTACGCATTACAACCGAGAAGCTATCCGAAAATACAACCCAATAAAACGGCTGGAAATACTGCGTCAGCGAGAGCATAATGTGGAGACTACGAGAACACCCAAACTCTATTTGAGATCGCCGTATGGGGCTACGAGTATCTTGCCCACTCACTAACCAGTACGATGGAGCCACCTTGAAATTTTTTCTAGTTGGCGAGGAAACCTTTCGTGTAAAGCCCCATTCTACCTGCGGTCCACCAGCTGAGCACCGTGATTCGGTTCATGGTCCGGATCACCGGATTCCAATACCCGATAAACTGACACTTTGTAGCTTTGTACTTGGTTCACGCTACGGTTCCAACCCACCCTCTATACGACTTCACCAAATATTACGGCGAAATAAACTAACGTAACCTAATAGTGAGCGCCCTTAAACTGCCGTCGGGAAGTGGTTAAAACAATCTAATGTAGTAATAATAATGCCCTCTACATGGAATTTCAGTCACGGCGGTCAGTCTCATCGGAGACTGGCTATACGTGCAGGACAGGCTTACAGCGCACATGTGTGTGCGCAGGCTCAGGTACACTCTCTATTCCCTCACGTTCGTAGTCTGACGGGACGCAATCAGACACGATCGCAGAGAGATCAGGCGCAGCGGCCAACCAACAGCTTTACTTGCTTTGCGAAGTACCGGAGTGAAGCTGTTAATTTTTGACAGAAAAACTCAATAATTAATTTTTTGGACCATCCCATGATTCGAGCCCGGGAGCTCACAATCAGCAGTCGCTTTTACGATCACTAAACCAAAGAGGCGATCAAGTCTATCAAAATAAAATGATCACGAAATGGAAGCGCAAGCAAGCAAAAACGCTACCACGTTGCACTCTGGATTTGCATCACGTCAACACACGCACACACACAACATATATATATATATTGTAAGACTCAGTGACACAGTAAAGGTACCGATAGGCACCACATTTCTGCCAAAAACCTTCGTGTTTTTTTTAATACAGACTAAGAATGATAAGCACACATTCCATTTGATGGTAAGTGAATGCTGTGACCCATAGACGTCTACAATTCTCCTCCATCTAGAATCAAAATGCGTTGTCATATCTGAGGATGAAACCAAGATGGAATACTTCCAGTAAAAACGGTCTCCGGTAAGCATGGGTGTTTTCAGTTTTTAGCTGCAACGGTTACATAACGGATATTGGGTTTCCATATCGTTATTGAATACCGTTTTCAGATATTGGTATCAGTGGTAATGGTTTGCTACTGAATGCGTAAACAGTGCAAAACATTTTTTACGAACTACTTAGATTATTTAAGATAATATTTATTTATTATTAATTAAGTTGGCGGTTATTCTTTATGCTTAACTATGCTTAGGACTAGCAGAAAGTTTCTTAAATGAGAACTTAAATTCCCGTTAATAGGTTTATCGGTAAGTTGGTTTATAAGTAAGTTAATAGGACAACGTTTGTTGACAATATGTACAAACAACAGGGTACACGAAATTGTTTTTTTTATCAAAGTGAGACAATAGATATCATAGAGACTTTAAATCAACTTAAACTATACTATATTATATTTATAATGCACACATAATTGTCTGAATTAAAACTAATGTACAAAATGCACGCAATACAACAAACTTGTAAAACAAAAAACAAACAATGTAACGTCAAAAATTATTAATTTTATAGATGCGCCACTAGGGTTGCCAGGTCTTAAAGCCGAAAAGCCGGACAGACCAGCGATCTTAACCGGATCATTTTGGCATAAAGGACGGACACCCTAAATTTTTTACTCTTAATGTAACATGATATTTTTGTAAAGTTATTCAATGCTTTTATATTAATTATAAAATATTCTTAAATTGAAATGAAATAACAAAAAAAATTAATAAATTAGTCTTTTTATTATTAATAATTCAATATTCATTATAATAATAATTTCAATACTCGTAATTGCAATATTATGTGTGTAGGTCTATAAAGAAATGTCATATTTAAATAGCCCAACAAAAGCCGAACGAGCCGGACACCATTTAATTTGGTCGGACAAGCAACTAAAAAGCCTGACTGTATTCCGGGTTTATCCGGGAGCCGGGGAACGATATGCGCCACCAAGGTCAAATGCGTAATAGCTGCGTTTTCAAAAAAAATCTATTTCAAATCTTTCCATCCAAAACATAAATAAAAGTTGCCTTAACCAAATATAATATAGCCATATAAGTTAAGCCTTGCGTCTAATGATCTAAAGATTATATAAAATTTGATAACTCTCATAACTACACGAACTTTAAATTCTGGCAATTTTAACCAATTATAATTCGACCTTATTGCTTTAGGTAATTATATGTATATCGCAATGTACACCATAATATCCTTCTACTATGTAACTACCAAAACATCGCAACGAAATCCATATTCCCTTCATCTCTTTCTATACTTATGGTATCGTGCAAGAACGAGCAGCAACGAATATCAAACGAAGGACATCGGTTAGTTAGCAGATCGTTCCACAGTTTGCGTTATATGTTTCGTTGTCGTACGTTGGTTAAGTAGTTGATTTTAGTTGGATATGTAATAACGATTATGTACTTAGGTTTACGAGAGCCATTGTAGCTCAATTGGTTAACGGTCGCTGTAAATATAACAGAACGCGAGTAAACAGAAACAATGAAATTGTTAATGGCAATTTTAAGTGCTGATTTACTACGTGTTCCGCGGTGAAGGAAAACATCTTGAGGAAACTTGTAAGTCCGAAGAATAAGAAAAAAATATTTTGAAGACATGTGAAGTTCGTCAACATGCATTGGGGCAGCGCGGCGGACACTTTCTTGCCCTAAAACCCTCTCAGAAATGAGGGAAGGCCTGTGCCCAGCTGTGGGACGTATATACGCTGTAACTTTGCTTTATTTTTACTTAGGTTTACCGATATGATATGATATTTTGATAACATAACTTTATTAGTTATGCTTCGATATATCGGTCTAATGCCTAGTCTCCGGTTCTCTACACTCACCATACGAAACACAGCAGCATTAAATTCACTCAGTACTCACTCAAGTTGAAGTTCGAAGTGACAAGACAAGACATTTATGTAGCTTATAGATCGATTCAATATTATCAAATTTTAATAATCGCATTGATCATGAATTGTGATGATTCTAGTGATTATCCAAGGTAATGGTCATCAAATTATAGTATTATTTGAATTTATCCCATTCTTATGTTAGAAATTACTATCAAAACTATACAAGTAAAAGGATATAACTCGTTCATAACTTTATTTT